ATTAAACAAAAATACCTAACCACTCTGACACTGTATCCCCTCTTGTTTTTAACATTTCTGTCATGATCCTGTCAGTTCCAGCTGCTTTACCCCCTTTCATTCTACATAATGCCTCATGCATCACCCCCACCCACACTTACATCCTGCTCTTCTTCACTCCTAAAAGATGTTATACCTCCCTGGCCAGTGCATGAAATTACCGCCTCCCTTTCTTCATCAATATTTATAAGTTCCTCGAAATATTCCCTCCATCTACCCAATACTTCCAGCTTCCCAGCTACTAACTCCCCTACTCTGTTTTTAACTGACAATTCCATTCCCTTGGCTTTCGTAACTTGTTTTTGTCGCTCCAAATTTTTTTTCTTATTTTCATCAAAATTTCTTGACAGTGCTCTCCCACTCTATCATCTGCTCTCTCTCACCACTCTCTTCACCTGTCTTTTATTCTCCATATACTCTGCTCTTCCTATAACACTTGTGCTTTGTAAAAACCTCTCATAAGCTACTTTTTTCTCTTGTATCACACCCTTTACTTCATCATTCCACCAATCACTCCTCTTTCCTCCTGCACCCACCCTCTTATAGCCACAAAGATCTGTCCCACATTCTAATACTGCATTTTTAAAATGATCTTATCCCTCTTCAACTCCCCCCCCCCCCCCAACTACCCATACTTGCATTAGCCCACCTTTATGCCAATAGTTGCTTATCTCACCCTAACTTCCTCCACCCTTAGTTTATAAACTTTCACTTCTCTCTAACTTTGTTGCCATTTTTCTTTTGCCCCATCTACCTCTTACTCTAACTGTAGCTACAACTAAATAATGATCATATACATGTATATCTGTTGCCCCTCTATAAACATGCTCATCTTGATGTCTACCTATCAGCCTTTTATCCACCATTACATAATCCAGCAAACTACTTTCATTATGTGCTATATCATATCTTGTATACTTATTTATCTTCTTTTTCTTCAAATATGTATTACTTATTGCTACACCTCTCTCTATACATAATTAACCCTTTCACTGTCAGTGTTGTATTAGTATGGCTTACAAGCTAGTGTTGGTGCCTTATTAATACGCTTAAATTCTAGCGGCTTCAAATCTAGTGGAAGAAAGCTGGTGCCCCTGCATGTGAGAGAATGGGTCTGCATGGTCAGTGTGTGCAGTATAAAAAAAATCCTGCAGCATGCAGTGCGTAATGAGAAAAAATAAACTCCGACTGTTTTTGGTTTAACACTCCGACTTTGAGGTGTATTTTTGTATAGTAATTATGGTTGTTTTCTCGTTTTCTTGGTCTCATTTGATAGAATGGAAAACATATTATTGAAATAAAGATGATTTTGATTGGTTTCACAATGAAAAGGACCTTGAAATTGAGCTCAAAGTAGTGGAAATGTTCGATTTTTACTGATGTTCAAGAGTAAACAAATGACATTACCATCCAATACGTGTCCAACTGGCCGGTCTAATATACAGTCACAAATGGGTTGACATTATTTATACAATTATTACAGTAATGCAGTAATGTGCATAACAATAAATCTTCTATTTTTTGTGTGAATAAAAATTCAGTATAGAAAGCAAGAGTAATATAAGAGGGGCCGGGAGTTGTGACTAATGAACAGAGAAAATGTTATTTCAGTGCCAGAAATGTCTGCATTGTTTATTCTGGACCCTATTTTGATATTGGCATCTTTTGAAAGTTGTTTGAAATTGGCCAAATTGCCAATTTCTGACCACTTTATTGGGTTGTTGAAATGGTAAATGGGTGGTTTCTTGTACTCAGTCGATAGAACAAATGGAGTTCTAGTGAAATAGCTATAAGTTTGGTTGACTGGAACAATGGAATTCGCTGAAAATAGGGCTCAAAGTGGGAGAAATCACCGATGTGTTCATATTGCCGAGACCGCTAACTTCACAAGAGTGTAATTCTGTAAGTTTTTCATCAAATTTTGTACTTTTGATGTCATTACCATTGGGAAAAGATTCTCTATCATTTCATTTTTATTTTTTTTTTTAACACAGCAAGTGTGTGAGCAGGGGTCTCGACAGTGAAAGGGTTAACGGTCCCCTATTATCATTTATCCATGGCACTCCAAACATACCACTCCCTCTACGACCATTTCTCTAACTTTTGCCTTCATGCCCCCTGCTTTCTCACTTAGCTCAAAACTCCCTAAGCACTCACTTTACATCTCCCAAAATCTCTCTCTCTCCTCTACACTTTTCTCTTCTCGAGGTGCATATACACTTACTATAAACCACTTTTCACATCTGACCTTTATTTTACCCCACATAATCCTTGAATTTATACAGTCATATCTCCTCTTTTCCTACGTAACTGATCCTTCAACATTATTGCTACTCCTTCTTTAGCTCTAACTCTGTTAGAAACCTCTGACCTAATCCCATTTGTTTCTTCCCAGTGAAACTCTCCTCCCTCCAGCTTTTTTTCACTTAGAGCCATGTCATCCAGCTTCTTTTCATTCATAGCATCTGCAATCATCTCTTTCTTATCCTCTGCACTACATCCACACACATTCAAACATCCCAACTTGAAGGTTTTCTTAATTATTTTTAGTAAACTATATGGGAAAAGGGGTTACTAGCCCATTTCTCCCAACATTTTAGTTGACTTCTACAGCACACATGGCTTACAGAGGAAAGATTCTTATTCCACTTCCCTGTGGAGAATTTTTTTTTATTATCATTATTAATTCTTCTCTGTGTGGCATGCAGTTTTTTTGTACAGTATCACTTTCATATTCTTGTGCCAAAATACAATATGATCTTTTATCTTTTAGGAACTTGGTTTAAGCCATTGCTAGCATTAAAGTAGAAAAATATTACCAAAAATGCAATAATGATGAGAAGTGGAGGTATACAGGGCAAGGACCATAAGAATGCAACTTTACCTGTACATTTCCTGTAGTTGGTTTCATGGGTCACCATCCCTGGTGGCCCAAACCAGGCCTGGTTGCTGGCATGATTGACCAGGCTGTTGGTGCCAGCTATATGCAGACCAACATATGTGCCACAATCCATCTGATCAGGCACTTACTAGAGGATCTTACCAAGTTCTTCCTGAAAGGCAGATTTGTTGCAATTCCCTTATGCATGAAGGGAGGGGCTTGAGTCTTTGCTCCCTTACACTTATTGCTGAGCCTCCTGCTTTTGTGAGTGATTTCAATGTACGGGTTTGGAATTGATTACTTGAGAATTTTTCAGGTGTAGACTACGCTGTGTTGTAACTCTCACCTACATTCCAAGGAGTACAGTTCGAGGAACCTCATCCATTCTCAGTAATTCAGGTGCTTGACTGAATTTATACAAGCAGTGAAGGCATTCAGTATGTTCTCTGGCTCTGTAGTTTTATCTGCCTTGAAGGGGCCATTAGTGTGCTGCAGTTTCCTAGCCTGGAGAGAATGTGTAACCTGAAGAGTACTGTCATTGACCTGGTGTTTCTTGTTTTGAATATTCCAGTCAAAACAATATTCAATTTTTTTGATCCTTTCATGTAAGATCCTCTGACACTTAAGTCTCGCATTAAACTTTCACTCTGTTGAGTGATTCAAATTAATGTTTTACTCTTCTCCAGTCTTCCTCAATTTTTCTATAGTAGAATAACTGAAATTTGTTCTCATTGAACATCATATTGTTGCTGTGTGTCTATTGGATGCCAGTCTCATAAAAGTTTTAGTATCATGTGCAGTGGATGATATGGTACATCTAAGAGCAACTGATGCACTACCACTCTACAGAGGTGCCTTATAAACGAAACAAATTTCATCAGTATGTATGATCTGCCATGCAAAGAATACAGAACAAATAAAAAAAATTCAGACAGGAATGCTCTATTTTTTTGTGGGCACTGTCTACTAGAGCTCAGTGCAATTCCCAGACTGGCTGCTATACTCACAATACAGTACTCAAGTGTATCCTTGTCTTGGTGCAGGACCTGGCTGTCTCACAGATCTCATACTTAAGTGTAATGCAGTTAACTGATACAGCAGGGCTGTATAATATTATATTTTATATTTGGTTCCATTCTAGGTAGTAGGTTGGTAGACAGCAACCGCCCAGGGAGGTACTACCGTCCTGCCAAGTGAGTGTAAAACGAAAGCCTGTAATTGTTTTAGATGTTGGTAGGATTGCTGGTGTCCATTTTTCTGTCTCATAAACGTGCAAGGTTTCAGGTATGGTATGGCTTGCTACTTCTACTTACACTTAGGTCACACTACACATGCATGTACAAGCATATATATACACACCCCTCTGGGTTTTTATCTATTTTCTTACTAGTTCTTGTTCTTGTTTATTTCCTCTTACCTCCATGTGGAAGTGGAACAGAATTCTTCCTCCGTAAGCCATGCGTGTTGTAAGAGGCGACTAAAATGCCAGGAGCAAGGGGCTAGTAACCCCTTCTCCTGTATATATTACTAAATGTAAAAGGAGAAACTTTCGTTTTTTCCTTTTAGGCCATCCCACCTCTGTGGGATACGGCCGGCTGTGTTGAAAGAAAGAAGAGATTTGGTTACATATTTCGATCTAATTGAGAGAACCCATTAGTCATGGGCCAAGGTGCCTTTCAAACTTTTATGTATTGCTGTGTGGGGCTAGATTAATGTTGTATTACCCTTCATATATATGTATACAGATCACTATTGCCTATGTAGGGTTTCCATAAAAATAATATTTTTAATGGGAAAACAATACTGGATTTTTTTTCAAAACTCAGTTAATATGAATCAGGGAGAAAATATCTTTCATGTAATATTGTTTCACTTTACAATACTTTTCTGTTCAGTGCATTATAGTCTTTAAGGTGTGATATTATTTCACCTTAAATTACCTTATGAATGAATATGCATTACAAATGTAAAACTTAATACAACTATAGTATCTTATACGTATATACATGTATTGTGAAATGTTATGAAAAATCTTTAAATACATTTTTAATCATCTGTAACTTTACATTAAATTCTTCAGGCTGTTACTTATGAACAGCATGGATTTCTAGAACAAGCTCAGGCAACATATGAGCTGTCCATGTCCAAAGCTAGGGCAGACATGGCAGTAAGACCTGCTCCAGGGAAGCTACAGTCGGAAATGAAGTTGTGGGAAGATAGATGGATCAGGTATGTGTGTGCTTTCATTTCTTTATATCAGTGGTTCATGTGAAACTAAATGCAACCCCTGAGAAATAATAACTACACCCTTCAGGAAGGTAAGTCTCTCTGAAAGAAGGCAGAATTTTATATGTAGATATTGTGTGTTATGAGATAATGAAATACTCATAATACAGTTTTACTCTGTGCCCAGTAAACCAGTAAAATCTTGAATCAGAATTCATTCTTTGTCCATAATTTTTAGGGTAGTAGATTAGTTGACAGCAACCACCCAGGAAGGTTCTACTGTCATGCCAAAGGAGTGCAAAACATAAGCCTGTAATTGTTTTACACAATGGCAGGCTTCCTAGTGTCTTACTTTGTCTCATAAACATGTAAGATGACAGGTACATCTTGATACTGTTACTTACATCTAGTTCATGCTACACATGTAATTGTGCATGTACATGTATGTGTATACACACTCATCCAAGTTTTCATCTAATCACCTAATAGCTCTTATTCTTATAATGTTTCCCACCTCCAAGGGAATGTGAGTAAGAATTCTTCCTCCACTAGCCATGTGCGACATAAAAAGAGACTAAACTTCTGGGAGCGAGGAGCTAGTAACGAAAAAATTTTAAAGTTGGATTGTTTGAATGTGCGTGGGTGAAGAATGCATTAACCCTGTGACTGTCGCAACCCCAAATCCTGAAGTGTCTCCTGGTGTCACAAAATTATTTTGAAAAAAAAAAAAATTATCCTTTCTAATGAAATGATAGAGAATCTTTTCCCGATGGTAATAACACCAAAAGTACAAAATTTGATTGAAAACTTTCGGAATTACGCTCCTGCGAAGTTAGCGATCTTGGCGATATATGTGCATTGGCGATTTCACCGACTTTGAGCCCTATTTTCAGCCAATTCCATTGATCCAGTCAACCAAACTCATAGCTATTTCTTTAGAACTCAATTTTTTCTATCAATTGAGTACAAGAAACTGCCTATTTACTGATTTCAACTACCCAATAAAGTGGTCAGAAATTGGCAATTTGGCTAATTTCACGCAAATTAAAAAAGATGCCAATTTCAAAATAGGGTTCAGAATAAACAATACAGACATTCTTGGCACTAAAATAACATATCCTCTGTTTGTTAGTCATGTCTCCAGGCCCCTCTTATATTACTCTTGCTTTCTATTTTGATTTTTTATTCACACAAAAAATAGAAGATTTACTGTTATGCAGACTACTGCATTATTGTAATAATTGTATAAATAATGTCAACCCATTCATGACTGCAAATGAATTTCTATTCACACAAAACACCAGATTTACTGTTATGCAGACTACGCATTATTGTAAAAATAGTATAAATAATATCAGTGCACTAGTGAAAGAATATTAGACTCCCCAGTTGACGTGTATTGGACGTGTGATGTGATTTGCTTACTCTCGAACATTGGTAAAAATTGAACATTTCCGCTGATTTGAGCTCAATTTCAAGATCGTTTTCATCGTGAAACTAATCAAAATCGTCTCTATTTCTGTAATATGTTTTCCATTCTATCAAATGAAATCAAGAAAACGAGAATACAACCATAAATACTATACGAAAATACACCTCAAAGTCGGCATTTTAATCCAAAAACACGGTTGGAGTTTTTTTTTCCCATTATGCACTCTGTGCTGCAGGATTTTTTATACATTGCACACTGACCACACAGACCCATTCTCCCACGTGTGGGCCTACCAGCTTTCTCCTGCTTGATTTGAAGCCGCTAGAATTATTGAGTATATATATATCCGAAACACTGGCTTGTAAGACGTATATGTACAGCTGAAACAGTCACAGGGTTAAAGAAAGAATTGATTGTGAATATTATAAGTGAAAAGAATGTAATAATAATGGTAGAATTACCAACAGTATGTTGGATAAGAGGACACAAGTACAACTAATGCCTAAGCTTCAAGAATAGGAAAATTCTTGAAATGGTCATAAGTACAAGTGCCATCCGACTTAAGACTGAGCTTAGTTCTGACCAACCGGTCGTAAATCAAAATGGACATAAGTTAAACTTTAGAAAATTGCCTATAGGGATACTTCAAAAATTAAATCTTAATCATGTACAGCAATCATTCTTTTATGTTTGTTGTGGAAATCACTTCAATCTGTTCATTATTATTGATTGGTTTTCACAAAATAGGTGAATACCTTCTGAGATAACAGCTGAAAGTGCACGCATACCCGAGTACTCGGGAAATATTTTTTCCCCGAAAAAATTCCTTTTTTTTTTTTTTTAAGTGTTTTCGTAAGGTATGACTGTATATTACAGTTTGCCCTCGTGCTAGATCTATTTTCTCTTATAAGAGTGACAAAAGAATGGATAATAAGCCTTACGGTCAGTTGTGTCCGCAAAGTCCCCTTCCTATCTGCGCAGCAGGCCTTCACATTATGCTAGATAATATTTATTCTGGTGTATTTTTTATGTTTCTGTGCTATTGATATTTTGCCTTATGTCATAATAGATCAATTGTGATAGGCAAATAAGCCTTATTGTTGATATTAGTGTGAAAATAGAACATTTTGTCGGCTGCTCTCTCTTGCTTGTGTCACTTCTACCCAGGTTTCTGTATGTCAATATCACAGTTATTGTAATGATTTTATTTTATTATTTTTGTATTCCTTTTTTATTTTTATTTTTATGCTGTTAGTACTGTATTTTATACTGTAAGGTTTAGGAGAAACACTATGCACAACACAAACAATTATTTATTTCTGAGAACATTTGCGTACAAAACAATGTGTTCGAATTCACTTCAAATGTAAGAAACTGCATGAACAGAAAAGTACAAAATAATGAAATATAAATGAAATACAAATAAAGATTGGGACACATTTACAGCCCACTAGTGCTTGGTTGGGGATCATCTACACTTTCTTCCTCTGATGGGGTACATGAGAAAGAAAGGTTACAAAAGCTATGGCTTGGGTAGCATAAAAAAATAGATTAGGCAAATGTATATGGATGTATTTGAGAAGGCGTGTTTCAGTGTCCCTTCTCTATTACATAAGAAAATAAGAAATGAGGAACACTGCAATAGGCCTATTGGCCCAAACTGGGCATGTCCTTTTTTTGTAGTAGCAATTATGTGATGGCAGGGTTTACTGTTTTCAGGAGGATTCTCGCTAAGACTTCAGAGATAATGAAGCTGCCTTTATTTTGTTTAATTGTGTTAGAAACAGCGATTAATGCTGAAGAAGAGTCCAATGACAAGCTACCTTGCCTTCAGCAAACCCTGCCATCACATAATTGCTACTACATAAAGGACATGCCTAGTTTGGGCCAACAGGGCTGCTGCAGTGTTCCTCCTTTCTTCTGTTCTTATGTAATAGAGAAGGGACACTGAAACATGCCTTCTCAAATCCATCCATCTATATACATTTGCCCAACCTATTTTTTATCCTACCCAAGCCATAGCTTTTGTAACCTTTCTTACTCATGTACCAGCTGACTTTTCCACCAGATGTATAGCTACTACTACTACCTCTACTTGTGTGGGCGAAACGTTGTCAATAAAGGATCACATTATACTGCTGTGTCTGACTGTGCATCAGGCAGCAGGGTTGCCAGATGTACGGTAGTAAGTCGAGTGGTCGTGTGTCACACAGGTCGTAACTCGGATGGTGAGTGTATATATCACGGGTGTGATGACTGAGCTAACAAGTCAGCAGGTGGGTGTAAGTATTTAGTGATGTGTGGGCTGCCAGTAAAGCAACTGGTGTGATCTGGTTTTTGAGGCAGTGGAGCCCCTGGAACTTCCTCTGTGTAATTGAAGCTCATAACTCCTGCTGTACTGAATTAAGAGTTAGTTGAAGCAATCTGTATTTCTGTTGGGACAATTCAGGGGTAACACTTGAAAATTTTAAGCTTCAAAAAATTTATCGGAAATCCTGTCAGCTGTTGTGGAAATTTTCACTGTTGCAGCTGATACTCATGTCATTTCAGTATTTACAGTTTTAATTCAGAATAAGAACACTAATAATATGCTATAGCATTTATAAAAGTTAATGTGCAACAAGGTAGGATTCTGATTTTAGCTCAGTACATGGTGAGTGCTAGCAACTATAATGGTTATTGGTGTGTATTAGTGTAATTGTTTATTTTCTCCTGTCTTTTTGATCATGTGCTGTTTATCTAGTTAGGAAAAAATATTTGAATAGAATTTTTTTTAACAAACTGGCCATAACCCACTGAGACAGTGTGACCTAAAAAGGAAAACAAAAGCTTTTCTTTTTAAATTTAGTAATTTACAGTGGCGTTGCTTGGGTTGGTGTCACTCGGGGCGGCATCTTTGGTGTCACCCCCATGAAATCCAAGGGGGGGGGGGAGTAAACTCCAGTAACGTCACTACTGCATGCCCAATGACTAATGTGTAGCAATGAGATCGTGTAAGGGCCATAATCTGAACAGGAGAATGCTTACTGAAAAAACTTTGCCTTGCCTTGCAAGTTTTCATATCTTGACTGGGAATGTGAGTGTTCAAACTATCAGATTAAATCATTTGATCTGCCACGAACCCTGTCCCTAAGCTAAGTAAAATCCCTCAATGATAGCCATAATATAATGATATAATGGAAAAGTACTTCATTGCAGTGAACTGGTTAATACTGAAAAGGCATAATTTCATTAACATTGGCAGTTATGTACTACTGTTATTTCAACATTTCATGAATATCAGTTCTCTCCCGTTCATATATCTTGATTCATGACATGACTGACATCACCAATAAGCAAAAGTAAAGCTCAAAATATGCACCAGCCACATATGCACCACCACATGGACCAAACTCACTCGCGGGCGGTGCAGCAGACACAGGATGTTATGTCAATGATGACTGATCATAGTGATGCCAGGTGGATTAAGGGGTTTTCCTAAATATCGTAAATAAAATTATCGATTTATCATAGTTTTTCGTATAGTGTCAATGATTTTCTTTGTATAGGCCTATTTGTACTCTGTAATCATATATGTAATAGGCTTTATAGAAACAAAGGATTTTTTTCTCTTATGTTGCTGCAACACTGTTTTGGGCATTAGTGCTACTTTCTTTAGAGGCTCTGTGGTGTCACCCCTTGATGGTGTTACCCGGGGCAGCCCACCTCCCTGGTCCCTCCCTAACGAAGCCACTGTTAATTTATACAGGAGATTGGGTTACTAGCCCCTTGCTCCTGGCATTTTAGTTGCCTCTTATGAAATGCATGGCTTACGGAGGAAGAATTCTCTTCCATTTCCCCATGGTGATAAGAGGAAATAAAGAAGAACAAGAACTATTAAGAAAAATAGAAGAAAGCCCAGATGGGTATGTAAATACATATGTGTGTACATACATGTGTAAGTAGAAGTAGCAAGATATACCTGTTACCCTGTGTGTTAATGAGACAAAAAAAGACACCATCAATGCTACCATCATGTAAAACAATGACAGATTTCCATTTTACACTCACTTGGCAGGATGGTAGTACCTCCCTGGGTGGTTGCTGTCTACCAACCTACTACCTAAATTGAATAGAAATATTAAGATTAACCTTTTCACTGTCAGTGCCGTATTAGTACAGCTTATAAACCAGTGTTAGTGCCGTAATAATACACCAAAATTCTAGCGGCTTCCAATCTTGCAGAAGAAAGCTGATAGGCCTACTTATGAAAGAATGGGGCTGAGTGATCATTGTGCACAGTATAAACAATCCTGCAGCACTGCAGTGCATAATTAGAAAAAAAAAAATCTGACTTTTTTTTGGTCTAAAATAGCGACTTTGTAGTGTTGTATTCCTGTTTTCTTGGTCTCATTTGATAGAATGGAAGATATATTATAGAAATAGAGATGATTTTGTTTGGTTTCACGAGGAAAAGTACGTTGAAATTGAGCTCAAAGCAGTGGAAATGTTCAATTTATGCCAATGTTCAAAAGTCGACATATGATGTCATTGTCCAATACATGTCCAACTGGCCAGTCTGATACACAGTCATGAATGGGTTGACATATTATATATGCAGTTATTACAATAATGCAGTGGTCTACATAAAGTAAATCTTCTATTTTTTGTGTGAATAAAAATTCAAAATGGAAAGCAAGGGTAACATAAGAGGGGCCTGGAGACGTCACTAATGAACAGAGAAAAATGTTATTCTAGTGCCAGGAATTTCTGCATTGTTTGTTCTGGACCCTATTTTGAAATTGGCATCTTTTGAAATTTGTGTGAAATTGCCCAAATTATTAACCCTTTGACTGTTTTCGACGTATAAATACGTGTTACGAGCCAATGTTTCTGACGTATATTTTTTTATATTTTATTATCACACTGGCCGATTCCCACCAAGGCAGGGTGGCCCGAAAAAGAAAAACTTTCACCATCATTCACTCCATCACTGTCTTGCCAGAAGGGTGCTTTACACTACAGTTTTTAAACTGCAACATTAACACCCCTCCTTCAGAGTGCAGGCACTGACGTATATATACTCAATAATTCTAGTGGCTTCAAATCAAGCGGGAGAAAGCTGGTAGGCCCACATGTGAGAGAATGGGTCTGTGTGGTCAGTGTGCACCACATAAAAAAAATCCTGCAGCACACATTGCGTAATGAGAAAAAAAAACTGTGATCGTTTTTTTGGAATAAAACGCCGACTTTGAGGTGTATTTTCGTATAGTATTTATCATTGTATTCGCGTTTTCATGATCTTAGGTGATAAAATGGAAACATATTACAGAAATAAAGATAATTTTCATTACTTTGATGATGAAAACGACCTTGAAACTGAGCTCAAAGTAGCGGAAATGTTCGATTTTTACCAATGTTCAGGAGTAAATAAATCACACCACACATCCAATACACGTCAACTGGAGAGTCTAATATTCTTTCACTAGTGCACTGATATTATTTATACCATTTTTACAATAATGCAGTAGTCTGCATAACAGTAAATTTTGTATTTTTTTGTATGAATAAAAAATAAAAATAGAAAGCAATAATAATATAAGAGGGGCCTAGAGATGTGACTAATGAACAGAGCATATGTTATTTTAGTGCCACGAATGTCTACCTTGTTTATTCTGGACCCTATTTTGAAATTGGCATCTTTTTTAGTTTGCGTGAAATTGGCCAAATTGCCAATTTCTGACCACCATATTGGGTAGTCCAAATTAGTAAATGGGAGGTTTCTTGTACTCAGCTGATAGATAAAATGGAGTTCTAAAGAAATAGCTATGAGTTTGGTCAACTGGAATAATGGAATTGGCTGAAAATAGGGCTCAAAGTCGGCGAAATCGCCGATACGCATATGTCGCCGAGACCGCTAACTTCGCGGGAGCATAATTCCATGAGTTTTCGACCAATTTCAAACTTTTGGTGTCATTACCATCGGGAAAAGATTCTCTATCATTTCATAAGAAAAAACAATTTTTTTTTTTTCAAAAATTGAGCGACATAGAATGACAGTTTCAGAAAGGGGCCTGAAACAGTCAAAGGGTTAATGTCTGACCACTTTGGCTAGTTGAAATTATTAAATGAGCATTTTCTTGTACTCAGTCGATTGAACAAATGGAGTTCTAGCGAAATAGCTATGAGTTTGGTTGACTGGAACAATGGAATTGACCGAAAATAGGGCTCAAAGTGGGCAAAATTCGCTGATGCGTAAATATCACCCAGACCACTAACTCAGTGAGAGCATAAATCCATAAGTTTTCCATCAAATTTCGTACTTTTGGCATCATTACCATCGGGAAAAGATTCTCTATCATTTCATGATTTTTTTTTTTTAATTCTTTCACACTAAGAGCAAGTTTGTGAGCAGGGGTCTCAGACAGTGAAAGGGTTTAAATGAAAATAAATGTATGAGTAACTTAAAATGTCATAGTACTGTGGCTGAAACAAAATACAACTAATTCACAAACTCAAGATAAATTTTTAAAAAACCTTTTGTCTGAATCCTCTGATCTTCAGAACACTTATAACTTGACCTTTCCCTGGTTTTCTTCCCATTTGACCGTGGCTCTCTCTAACCTTTTCATCTGATTTTGGCTTAATCATTTCTCTCTGTTTTGGCTTGAAAGTAGCCTAGAATGGACTGAAAAATCAACTAAAAATTTACTTTATTTAAACATGTTTGTTACTTTTGACTATGAGAACAGTAATGTGATTTGAAAGGGAATTTAAGTTTCCATGTTTACCAGAACTGATAACAAAGTTAAAGGAAAAAGCCTTTGATTCTTGTGTGTGTTTGAGCTGGGACAACAAAGGTGAACACAAGCAAGAAAGTCCTGAGTAATTTCGATGTGTCACTTAATCCAGTTTTCTCCAGTGCTCATTGGAGGAAGTTATATCTAGTTTTACAGGATGTGAGTGTTTAGCTCTTCACCAAAATGAAATTTCAGTCACTCTGAGAGGGTTCTGTGCAGATTTGAGGATCAAGTTTTAGCACTTTACCTATAAGCACCTGCTTGTGTATGCTCTGCCCCTATATGCATAACTTGTGAAGGGCTGACTGTGGAGCACATTTAAGCTTTTCCCAGAATTTCAGCTTAATGGTTTTAATTATTGAGGTGTCTGTAGAGACCTTGGGAAACTCATACAAAAATCCTTTAATATTGACAATTTATGTTCCTTTTTAAACAAATTTTAGTTATTTTAACTTAATGTGATAATATTTACTGTACTTTTGTTGTGTATTGTTTATACTAGTAGTTCTTATTTTTTGTTACTTATATTTTCTGGCATATAAGGCACACTTTTTTCCCTACAGAAAGTCTTGGAAAATCACCCTGTGCCTTGTATGCTCAAGGTCAGGGTCAAAGGTAAGCTTTATGTTATGCTTTAGCAGTTCTTTACTAATGTTATGCTACAACTGCTTGGAAACATCGTCTTATGTGTCTCATATGATTGTGCTCCTTATATTTTGGAATGTTCTTGTGTATGTATTTTGTATTTCTTTTAAATTGCGAAGAGTGTTGAATGAGATCCCAAGTCAAAGCACTCTTCAACTTTTACAGTTTCCTTCCATTGATGGCTGCTTTGAGGTAATGTGCAACAGAAGGAAAAATTACGTGTTGTCAGTAAAGTAGTGGTAATTAGTAAAAGAATTATTTTACTACCTGTGAGTCTTAATTTTTATTATTTAGCTAAATAATATTTCTTGTAATCATAATTCTCTCATTTTTTTTTCTTTTTAAATAAAATCTTTTATAATCCATAGGTGTGCAAAGGAATTAAATCAGTGGGATTTGGTGCAGGAGTATGGTAGCAGTGAAGCCTCTGGCAACCCTCTTCTAGTTCTGGATAGTGCATGGCGTGTTCCTAACTGGGCCCGCATGAAAGAAGCTTTGGCACACGTTGAGCAGTCATATCCTAAAGAGTTGGCATGGAAGGTAATGTTATACTTAAGATACTGTACATTAATTAATGTCTGTGTTTTCTTGATATAGGTACATTAGTTGGTTGGTAGACAGCAGTCACAGAAAACTAACCTGTTATGTATGTGTGAAACAGAAGCCTGTTAAATATTGTGCACTCTGGCAGTATTGCTCATCTTAAAATTCTGTCTTATTAACCTTTAAGGTAAGAGGTAACTCATACAAACTTCTACCTACATTCAGAATACACTTCTGGTATCCCTTAATGGTTCTCATCCCTGTACTGCTTCCTTACCCATTCCATGGGAAAGCAAGTTAGAATTCTTTCCACTTAAATCATTTGTGTCTTATAAGGCTTTTTAACAATTCAGAACAAGGGCCTAATATCCGCTTTTTTTTTTTTTAGGTGTCCCTCTAAAGGAAATATCTCCAGGAAGGTCTCTCTCCTATCCTATTAAGTTGGGAAAGTAGGATAGTGATGCTAATGATTTTGTTTTTTAATAAATGTTTGTGGAAAGTGTTCACATGTTCATAATTTTTTTGTGTGTTGCTTTATGTATTTTTTCTTTTTTATGAACAAGACACGTGCACCACCTGGGTGTCTTTATTTATGAAGATGTTTTGCTAGGCAGCGGCTTTTTCAGTCCAATACAGAAATTATATACTGGAGACCGTGGATAATGTGGAGAGGTAATTTTGAGGTGTTCCATCCCTCAGCCTTGATAGAAAATGTTCAGGGACTGAAGGTAATACCTTCTGTTAAGGAAGTGAAGACCTCAAAATTACCTCTCTACTTCTTCCACTGTTTCCATTATATTATCTCTGTATTGGATAGTAAAAGCCACTTGTTGGCAAAACATCTTCAATAAAGATTCCCAGGTGGTGCAAGTGTCTTTTTCCATTGCCCTTTCATTATTGTATACCATTAATTAATTGCTACTTTATTTGGGTGTCGTGATTAACAAGAACTTTTGTAACAGATAAACCTGTACCGGGGATATTTGGCAATATGCCATCCAGAGGAAGAACATTTAAAGCTTGTAGAGAAGTTAGTTGAAGCTGCAACTGTATTGTGTATTCGGGAATGGAAGAGGCTCCCACATATTGTTTCCCATATCCATCTGCCATATTTACAAGCAGCTCAGCAGGTATGACAGTATTTGATTTCTCCTTGATTTTTACTTTTCTATAGTGATGATATATTAATTATGCAGGGAATCTTGATATCTTATTACCTTACTCTGATTTATGCTAGTCTTGATATAATAATGCAACTGATACTTAAACAGGTGATGGAGCTTCAAGAAGCCTGCCAGATTCATCAGGGGCTAGTGCATGGCCGCACAAATTCGTTACATGACATGAAAGCCATAGTTAAAACATGGCGTAATCGTTTGCCTGTCATTGCTGATGATCTGTCTCACTGGTCAGATATCTTTACTTGGCGCCAGCATCACTATCAGTTCATTGTTAATCATTACACTGATACAGGAGAAAACCAGGTGAGAAGTGCTTTTAATATAATTTAATATCTGAAACTGAACACTAATGATATGCATAGTTTTCTGGAGAGCATTGGTATAATTCCATTTATTTTAAAAAGCTTCCTTGCTATTTATAGATTATTTTATTTTTTCTCTTAAATAACCTTTGATTTTTTCAATCTGCTGATTTTTTTATATAGTATATATTTTCACTTTTTAAAGAAAATATAAAGATAAACCTCATAATCCTCATGGCTAGAAACACTTTTTACATGTGGCACATTCTTGAATATACAGTGTCAGTAGGGCACCCACTTGGTATATTACAAAGTGAAATATGAGAATACAAAGGAGAGCATTAAGACTAGTACCTGAGCTGAAGAGAATGAATCATGAAGAAAGACTGCAGAACAAGGCCTTATTTCCCTGGTGAAGCAAAGAACAAGTGGGAATATGTAGATAAATGGTTTAGAGAACCGAGAAGTTAATGAATGAGGCATTTATGCAACACAGGTTGCACAAATGTATCATTCATCAAGAGGGGATATCACCATGACGTAAAATACTGTGAGGAATAGATTTGATAGAAAAGAATAAGCTCTTTACTATGGTTTTGGTTGGAAATCACTCATTCAGATGAGCCATAGTGATATGAGGACGTATTTATTTCGTTGAAGGATTGGTAAATAAATGGAATGAGCTGAGTATTGGCACAGTGGAAGTAAACTTTATGCATTATTACTTTACCACTTCCATCCCTTGCTTCCCTCTCTGATACATTCTGGCTCCCTTCCCTCTGCACCTCTGTGTGTGACTAGTTAATGGTAAAGTCAGAGCAAAATGTCTTCAAAAGTTTGTTTTCTAGATGTGGGTTATTTGTGCTTTAAATATTGGTTAATACAAGATTCCTTAATTGATATATTTGATACAACCTTGTGTCCTTGACCCAGTAACTTATGGCATCATTAAATACATTATTTGTTGCATGCTACCATATTTGAACTTTATTTTCAGAGTATGCTTGGTGTTCATGCCTCAGCTCAAGCTATCATTCATTTTGGTAAAATTGCTCGAAAGCACAATCTCAGTAATGTGTGTCTGGAATCTCTGACTCGGATACATACCATTCCATCTGTGCCAGTAGTGGATTGCTTCCAGAAGATTCGCCAGCAGGTCAAGTGTTACCACCAGATGGCAACAGCTATAGGAATGGGCAAAAATGAGCTTCAGGGAGTAAGTTGATAGTTTTCTTTTTTTTTTTAAATCAATATGTATTGAAAATAAGCATTGTTGAATGAAATTTCATAAAGATTTTGAAAAGGGCTAGAAGAGCAGGTAGTACAGTGTATCACTGCCATATAAAAAATTATCAGAGAGGTATCCATAGCACTTGTAGGTAGTAGGTTGGTAGCAGCCGCCCAGGGAGGTACTACCGTCTTGCCAAGTGAGTGTAAAACGGAAGCCTGTAATTGTTTTACATGATGGTAGGATTGCTGGTGTCTTTTTATTCTGTCTCGTACACATTCAAGATTTCAGGTACGTCTTGCTACTTCTACTTACACTTGGGTCACACTACACATACATGTACAAGCATTTATATACACACCCCTCTGAGTTTTCTTCTATTTTCTTTCTAGTTCTTGTTCTTGTTTATTTCCTTTTACTTCCATGGGGAAGTGGAACAGAATTCTTCCTCCGTAAGCCATGCGTGTTGTAGGAGGCGACTAGAATGCTAGGAGCAAGGGGCTAGTAACCCCTTGTCCTGTATATATTACTAAATGTAAAAGGAGAAACTTTCATTTTTCCTTTTGGGCCACCCCGCCTCGGTGGGATACGACCGGTGTGTTGAAAGAAAGGAAACATGCAAGATTTCAGGTACATCTTGCTACTTCTACTTACACTTAGGTCACACTACACATACATGTACAAGCATATATATACACACCCCTCTGGGTTTTCTTCTATTTTCTTTCTAGTTCTTGTTATTTCCTCTTATTCCATGGGGAAGTGGAATAGAATTCTTCCTCCGTAAGTCATGTGTGTCATAAGAGGCGACTAAAATGCCGGGAGCAAGGGGCTAGTAACCCCTTCTCCTGTGTATATTACTAAATTTGAAAGGAGACTTTCGTTTTTCCTTTTGGGCCGCCCCACCTCAGTGGGATACGGCTGGTACGTTGAAAGAAGAAGTCCATAGCACCCTCCAACTTATTTATTTAAAATTTGGGCTTAATCATGGTTAATTAGGGTTGGTCCCAGACCAGGTCTGATCAACCAGGAGGCCTGGTCTGGGACTTGGTTGTGGGGGCATTGACCCCCAAAAACATCTTTCAGGTATTCTTCTAGTATCTCAAAAGTTGCAGGCCAGAACTGCAGGTTTACAGTGTTTGTATTTCTCCACTTAATACCATAATACCTTTAATATTGGTCAGATAGATATATATCATGGCTTTATGCAGAAATATATTGTGTAGATTGTGTGCATTTGTAGTTTTATTTGGCTTTCAGTGAGATATGAAAACCACTGGTTTCACATTGACTCAGGAGGAGTGCAATTATCATGTCTCCCCTCTTTTTAAAATATCCAAGTAAGGACTATCTTACACTTTTCCAAAGGTTTGCCTCCTTCCTGCACCATTTCACATGTCGTTCAACACTGTGGCCAAAGCCATCTAGCCTTCTGACCAGACTGAATCATCATTTGTCAAATGCACTAGTGTCAGAACTTGCCACTCTCTCTACATGATGGTCTATTGAGAATGCTTGTTGGCAATAGCCATTTGTTGTGCTTTTTTACTGGCTGAACACTGAAAACCCTGTCAAGAGGGCATTTCAGCTGTTTAGGAAGTTTTCTAAGGAATGTAGATGTAAAACTACCTCTTAGAGATTTTGGCATTTGCCATGAGGGCATGGGTCCCATCTACCTTTGTCCCTAGCAGCTCTTATCTTTCAGTGTCATTTGGGACCAAATGGACCCTGTAAGGTTGGAGACTTCTCATTTACCCCTGGGTCTTTGTCATCCCATTGAACAGGTAGCTGGCAAGCAGGCAGGTCTTTGAAATATTTAAAACAATGTTTGAAGTTTACATCAGTCATCTGCATAAGCACATAAACTGTGCTAAGAATCCTGAGAAAGGTTCAGATCTCCAGCTGTTGAGGGAGATAAATGAGTAATTCATGGATGTTACCACTATTTTAAAGTGTATTGACCTGTTGAAGCCATGGGACCCTTCCTCCTCAGGATTTTTAAAAGCCAGTTCTTTACACAAATGCTTTCTTTTTTCCTCTGAGCTTTGCTGTCATCATGTCTCAGGAGAGAGGAGGTTTGGCAGTTTTGCACTCAAGTGTATGTTTCTTCTAGATTGTCTTCCTCATCTCTATAGCCTCTTCTTCCATTCTCTTGCATTCACATGGAGGCAGTTTTTTTTTTTTTTTTATTTAACACATTGGCCATTTCCCACCAAGGCAGAGTGGCCTGAAAAAGAAGAACTTTCAGTATCACTCACTCCATCACTGTCTTGCCAGAGGCATGCTTACATTACAATTATAAAACTGCAACATTAACACCCCATCTCCAGGAATCAAGTCTGGCCTGCCAGTTTCCCTGAATCCTTTCATAAATGTTACCTTGCTTACACTAACAGCACATCAAGTCCTAAAAACCATTTGTCTCCATTCGCTGCTATCTAACACGCTTTTGCACACCTGCTGGAAGTCCAAGCCTCACACACACAACCTCCTTTACCCCCTCCCTCCAACCTTTACTAGGCGAACCACTACCCCGCCTTCCCTCCACTACAGATTTATACACACTCAGTCATTCTATTTCATTCCTTCCTCTCTACATGTCCAAACCATCTCAGTAACCCCTCCTCAGCCCTCTGGGGTAATTGCACACCTCCTAATCTCCAAACTGTGGATTCTCCGCATTATATTCACACCACACATCACCCTCAGAGGTGACATCTCCACTGCCTCCAGCCTTCTCCTTGTTGCAAAATTTACAACCCATGCCTCACACTCATACAAGTGTGTTGGTATAACTATACTCTCATACATTCCTGTCTCTGCTTTCATAGATAAAGTTCTTTGTCTTCACAGACTCCTCAGTGCACCACTCACCTTTTCCCCTAATCAGTTCTATGATTCACCTCATCCTTCATAGACCCATCTGCTGATACATCCACTCCCAAATATCTGAACACACTCACCTCCTCCATACTCTCTCCCTCCAACCTGATATCCAATCTTTTGTTACCCAAGTTTTTTGTTATCCTCATCACCTTACTCTTTCTTATATTCACTTTTAATTTCCTTCTTTTACATACCCTACCAAACTCATCAACCAACCTCTGCAACTTCTCTTCAGAATCTTCCAAAAGCACAGTATCATCAGCAAAGAGCAACTGTGACAACTCCCTCTTTGTGTTAGATTCTTTATCCTTTAACCCCACACCTCTTGCCAACACCTGAGCATTCACTTCCCATACAACTCCATCTATAAATATGTTGAACAACCATAGTGACATCACACATCCTTGTCGAAGGCCTACTTTTACTGGGAAATAATCTCCCTCTCGTCTACATAGTCCAACCTGAGCCTCACTATCCTCATAAAAACTTCTCACCACTTTCACTAACCTACCTCTTATTCCATACATTTGCAACATCTGGCACATTCCCCCCCCTATACACCTATTATATGCCTTTTCCAAATCCATAAATGCCACAAATACCTCTTTTCCCTTATCTCAATACTGTTCACCTATAGGTTTCACTGCAAACACATATGATCTACACACCCCCTACCTTTCCTAAAGCCTCTTTGTTCATCTGCTATCCTGCTCTCCGTGTTACTCTTAATTCTTCAATAATAACTCTACCATACACTTTACCAGGTATACTCAACAGACTTATTCCCCTAGCATTTATTTCCTTTCTGAAATAGAAAACTGGCTCTCACTCCAGGGAAATGTTTGGTTCCATGTTTACCAGTATATTGAAAGTGAACATCCCCACTGATAGGATAACTCTGGATAGAGGGACCCACCCTCATGTCCTCCATAGTATTGGTAGTCCAGGTAATGTTCAGAGTCGTCCTGTGTTTTGGGAATGCCATATCCAGCAACAGGATTCAGGTGTACAAGGATTTGTTGAGGTCTTTAAAACACCTCGCCAGTGAAGAATCTTTAATTGACAGTACCAAATATATAATTTTTTTCTTGGGAAACAACTTCAACCTTGTACTCCATATTCTCCATTATCTGTTAAGCTGATGCTAAATAAACGATAAAGAAATTATTTTTTGGCTTATTTTGCTGAAACTTCTACCAAAGCCATACTACATATTGGTCTTATTACAGTATTTTTTCTACTTCCAAAGAATTTGTAAATTACTAAAGGTAATACTTTTTATATTTTTTCTTAGCTACTGGTAGCCTGTTTTACAAGATACATCAGCCTGGTCCAATTCCCTAATTTTATTTATAAAGCAGTTAGGTCTGAAGTTTACTGTATCTATCTTGCTGCTTCTGCATCCTAACTAATTTGTTTTATATCCTTTCATGTTAATGCCTTTTCTTTAGTTTTACTCCAATCACTTCCTTTGATTGGATAGAGTACTGTAAAAATGTTCATTAGTGTTATTTTTCTATAAGAGGTTTACCCTCTTATAGATTTGCTTTCATCTCTGTTAAAGACTTTGACTCACAATGAAAGCCTTTAAATCCTCACACAATATTCTAGTATGTATGTACAGAAAGAGGGGTAGGGGTCGTCCTCGAAAGGGTTGGAAAGAGGGGGTAAAGGAGGTTTTGTGGGTGAGGGGCTTGGACTTCCAGCAAGCGTGCATGAGCGTGTTAGATAGGAGTGAATGGAGACGAATGATACTTGGGACCTGACGATCTGTTGGAGTGTGAGCAGGGTAATATTTAGTGAAGGGATTCAGGGAAACCGGTTATTTTCATATAGTCGGACTTGAGTCCTGGAAATGGGAAGTACAATGCCTGCATTTTAAAGGAGGGGTTTGGGATATTGGCAGTTTGGAGGGATATGTTGTGTATCTCTATACGTATATGCTTCTAAGCTGTTATATTCTGAGCACCTCTGCAAAAGCAGTGATAATGTGTGAGTGTGGTGAAAGTGTTGAATGATGATGAAAGTATTTTTCTTTTTGGGGATTTTCTTTCTTTTTTTGGGTCACTCTGCCTCGGTGGGAGACGACCGACTTGTTGAAAAAAAAAAAAATGTACAGACTTTATAAATTAATGTTCGAATCATCAGTTATGAGTCATGCTTTTCTCCTTCCTTAGTAATATACATAATATGACTCTTTAAACATAATTTTGTCTTATTTATAACTTTACCTGACCTCAAATGAGAGTAATGTATCTTCTTGGGGTTTGTTGTGTCCATTTGAAATAATAAATTATAATTAAAATATAAAATCATTTATATTAACACTTTCTTTTCTTAACAGGGGTTAGAGGTGATTGAATCCACTAATTTGAAATATTTCAATAAGGATATGACTGCAGAATTCTATGCCCTTAAGGGTATGTTTCTCTCTCAGTTAGGTAAGTATGAATATTGCTGTGTTAAGTAAGAATGTTGTTGATTTATTAAAATTTCTGCTAACAGATTCTTTTTGTCATTTTTGGATAGAGGTAGGAAAAATGAACATCTTTCTTTGATTTTCTTAAAAAGTGTAGTCTTCATGGGGCATTGTTTTTTCTTAATCCTAAATACAGTATATTTTTTTTTTCTTTGCTGGCTTCCTGTGATAGCTATCTTTAACCCTTTAACTGTGGCATACTCCCAAATAAAAATTCCTGTTTGTGAGAAAGATTTTGAAAAATAAAAGAAAGTTATTTTTTCTTATAGAATGAAAGAGTGTATTTTTGTCTGAATTGAACAAGACTAAAATGAGTGAAATCTGATAAAAGTTTATGATTTCATGGGTTGTGGAAATTGGTGAAAAAATTGTCACTCATCGGCAACAGATATAAATGCGTCAGTGATATTTACATTTTTTTTTTAAGTTTCTTAATTGCTTTTAATGTAATACTGTATACACTAGTTTCTTATGATAGGTGTGTTTAAAGATGTTTTAGTGCTTCCAAGATGGTAAAATGCTTAGTCCGACATTGCTCCACTTGGAATGTGTTATTTTTATGGTACAGTATAAATTTTTTTTTTTTTTTTTTTTTTTTTTTTGTCTTCTAATGTTTTGTACAAGGATTACTTATACTCCAGTTGTTGTCAGAGTATCATACTCCTCAAAATATGGAAATAAGTCACTTTGTTTGACTTTACTGGTTTATCCTGGGTTAAACATACGTAGTGTACTTTCTGGTTAAATTCCACCATTCATTTTCAAGTCATCTTTGTGCCATTTTCACACCCTGTTTGTTGGTAGGGAAGCTGATGGAGGAACAACAGCAACTGGTTTCATTGTTTACTTTTGCTAATTAGGCATTACTCATGTGGTTAACCATGATTCACTTTATAGACCCTCCTGACCTTAGGTTTTTTTTTGAAGGGTTGTGCTAAAGTCAAAAATATTGGCAATGTTTTTTTTAACATTGCTAATTGCCAAAATTACAATTGGGTGGACTTTATAAATATTTTTCTTCATTGTTTAGATTATCTTAAGTGATATTGCTTCAGAACTGTAAAACCACAAGTGGCTTCTTCAATCCGAAGTCATTCATGACAAAATGTCTCCTTAACCCTTAAACTGTCCACACGTAGATCTGCGTTCACGTGCAGGGGAAGGGCTCCGAACGTAGATCAACGTTTTATTTTTCATTCCTTCAAATTTGGTGTGATAGGCCTGAGTCGCCTAGACATGAAAGAATGGATCTGTGCACTCAGTGTGCGCAGTATGAAAAAATCAGGGACCACTTAGTACCTTGTGGGAACACCAGTTCAGTTGAGCACCAACTAGAGCAAGTAGCATGGCAAACACCAGGGATTCACTGATGTCATATCATATTAACACTCACATTTTAAGAGGAAAGTAAAAACAGGTTAGATAAATACATGAGTGGGTGTGAGTTGGACCTGACTAGCTTGTGCTACTAGGTCAGACACTGTGCTCCTTCCTTCAGTGGATGTCACCTGACTAGGTGGGTCATTGGTCTACGTGTGGTGCATATAGTGTACGTTACTATTACATTGTGCATTAATATTTTTTTTTCTTTCACTAGCTAATACCAGCTACCACAAATACTTCTTACTTTTTCATTGCTATTAATTGATTATAATTTTGTGTTGCAAGTCAAATCTTACTCCAAATTAATATTATTCATGGTTGCTACCTGTCCATTTAATTCTGTTTACCACTACTTTTTTTAGTCCCTTTTATATTGTGTGTGCAGTTAGTGTATATTCCAATTACATTATTGTGTGAGTCCCAAAACTATCTTTTGCTAGCTAGTACCAAGTACCTCATATTCCTCTACTTTTTATAGTGCAATTAATTGCTCAGCTTATACATTACAAATCACTATTATTTAATTTAGTCCCTTATATATTTTCTCCTTTATTTTAGCTTTATATAACTACCTTAGTTCATATATTCACAATTGTTAAAATAATCAAAGTGCTATTCTCAGGTGCTAAAGTGTAATAAGTTCACTATTTTGCCAGTATATTCCCAAGCTCATTTTTTTTTCTCTCTCCTCTTGTCCATATAGTCACATTTATTAAAATACCCCAGGTGCTACTTATTTTGCTTTTAATTCATTCTTTTATTATTATATTCATTAGCTCCTTTATTTTAGCTGTAAATATCTACTGTAGTTCATGAACTCACTTGTTAAAATAATTAAGGTGCTATTAGATGCTTAAGTGTATAACTGAATTGTCTATTCTGTAATAATCCCTTTTTCTTTCAAATTTTTACAAGTTTTAGATTAATCACGGAGTCTTAGTCATAAGTCTAGTTGTAGATTCAATATAAATCTTACATCATTTTACTGAGAAAATCTAGTTTGTAAAATTACTCTCATCCTATGATTACAGGCATAGATCCTGATGTAAACTTTTTACAAAATGAATTACACGAATCAACCAGTAACTGTAATTACTACTCAGCAGACCAAGCAAAGACATTACTCAGTGCAAACAATAACATAACCATCTTTAACTACAGGTCCTCCATCACAAATCCGGCATCATTGGGACCTGTAGTGTGCTGGATTACTGAGTTTGCCGAATTACAGAGTGGTTAAGCTAGAATACACTTAATAAAACTAACCAACTTGACTTGCACAGTTCATTGAACATCGGCAAAAATTGAACATTTCCGCTACTTTGAGCTCAATTTCAAGGTACTTTTCATCATGAAAGCAATCAAAATCATGTCTATTTCTGTAATATATCTTCCATTCTATCAAATGAGTCCAAAAAATGAGAATACAACCATAAAAACCTTACGAAAATATACTGGAAAGAGGCGGCTAATGGCTGAGAAGTTAACTCCCTTATTTATCGTCCGTCTTTATTTTTGTTGTACGTTAAGAAGCATCTTTCCATCATACATTGCCCAAGTTTCAATGAGATAGCCCAACAAACAACCGAAAAAAAAAAATATTTACCGAAAATCATATATGGCAAGCCCAAGCCAGGTACTGGAAATAAGTCACTTTGTCTGACTTTTCTGGGTTATCCTAGGTTCTCTATACATACACTGCTATGTATGATCTATGCAACTGTATTTGTGTATACCTGAATAAACTTATTTATTTCTAGTCTGTCAACTGAGTACAAGAAACCGCCCATTCACTTACTTCAACTACCCAATAAAGTGGTCAGAAATTGGCAATTTGGCCGATTTCACACAAATTTCAACAGATGCCAATTTCAAAATAGGGTCCAGAATAAACAATGCAGACATTCCTGGCACTAAAATAACATTTTCTCTGTTCATTGGGGATGGCTACAGGCCCCTCTTATATTACTCTTGCTTACCATTTGGAATTTTTATTCACAAAAAAAATAAAAGATTTACTGTTATGCAGACTACTGCATTATTGTAATAATTGTATAAATAATGTCAATCCATTCTTGACTCCGTACTGGAATTTGGACTGGCAGGCGGACAGGTATTGGACGGTGACGTCATTTGTTTACTCTTGAGCTTCGCTAAAGAATAGAACATTTTCGCTACTGTGAGCGCAATTTCAAGGTACAGTGGACCCCTGCATACCGTTGGCCTTACATAACGTTAAATCCGCATACCGCTACATTTTATCGCCAAGATTTTGCCTCGCATACCGCTAAAAAACCCGCTCAACGCTGTTTGTCTGAGACGCGTCTATGTGCGGCCTGAGCCACGCTCACATGTTCCGCCGGTGGCATTGTTTACCAGCCAGCCTCCGCGGTAACATCCAAGCATACAATCTGAACATTTCATATTATTACAGCGTTTTTGGTGATTTTATCTGCAAAATAAGTGACCATGGGCCCCAAGAAAGCTTCTAGTGCCAACCCTACAGCAATAAGGGTGAGAATTACTATAGAGATGAAAAAGATCATTGATAAGTATGAAAGTGGAGTGCGTGTCTCCGAGCTGGCCAGGTTGTATAATAAACCCCAATCAACCATCGCTACTATTGGTGGTACAGCTGCTGCTGCTGCTGTACCACCGTCAGCTGCTGCTGCTGCTGCTGCTGTAGCACTGTCAGCTGCTGCTGCTGTTGTACCACCGTCAGCTGCTGCTGCTGCTGTAGTACCGTCTGCTGCTGCTGTAGCATCGTCTGCTGCTGCTGTAGCATCGTCTGCTGTTGCTGTAGCACTGTCAGCTGCTGCTGCTGCTGTTGTACCACCGTCAGCTGCTGCTGCTGTAGTACCGTCTGCTGCTGCTGTAGCATCGTCTGCTGCTGCTGTAGCACTGTCAGCTGCTGCTGCTGCTGCTGTAGCACCGTTGTTGGTGTGGCTTATTGAGAATACCAAGAAACAATTAACCCCAGAGGATTTGCCACCCAGGATAACCCAAAAAAGTCAGTGTCATCGAAGACTGTCCAACTTATTTCCATTGGGGTCCTTAATCTTGTCTCCCAGGATGCAACCCACACCAGTCGACTAACACCCAGGTGAACAGGGAAAAATGCCTGGAACTAGTGCTCATATTGGTGAATTTAAAGCCAGCAAAGGTTGGTTTGAGAGATTTAAGAATCGTAGTGGCATACACAGTGTGATAAGGCCTGTTCTGGAAGAAAATGCCAAAACAGGACCTACAGTACTCAGGAGGAAAAGGCACTCCCAGGACACAGTGTCTCATCAGTCATTGCTGCATCTTCAATAAAGGTAAGTGTCATTTATTCTTCATTTAGTAGAGTAGTACATGCACAATATATATTGTGCATGTACTACTCTACTATTGTGCATGTATCCTTCTCTTTGTGTGTAGGAAAATGTATATTTCATGTGGTAAAATTTTTTTTTTCATACTTTTGGGTGTCTTGCATGGATTAATTTGATTTCCATTATTTCTTATGGGGAAAATTCATTCGCATAACGATAATTTCGCATAACAATGAGCTCTCTTGCATGGATTAATATCGCTATG